ATAATGAATTTCAACATTTATTAATAATTTTACATTTTAGGGCTTAAGAAAAGACCACATTCACATAAACAAGTAAGAAAAATACACATTTTCATACCAATTTTACCCCCAAATTTTTTAACCTTGAACTCTGCAGGTTTATGTGAGACTTCCTTTTAATTTTAGAAAAATAAAAATAATTATGTATCCCACTTTAAAGTAATAAGGCATGCATTTAAAGTGTGTCTAAATATAAGGTCATTTTGTTGGATATGTAAATGTGACATACAATTTTAATTAAAAAACAACTTTTGTATTTACTTTAACTTTAATTAGACCTACCTACCTAGCCATCCATCCATCCATACATACATACATCCATACATACATACATCCATACATACATACATACATACATACATTACTCATCATACATTACTCATCATACATTACTCATCATATTTCTTCAAATAATTTATGGTGGATTTGAGAGAAAGAGCCAGGCAAGAAGTTGGATAAATGACGTAGTTAAAGCTAATCAACATTATTTTTTTCTTGTTTTACTAATTTCTTTTAAACATTTGCAGAAAAATGCTAAAACTTTCCATTTCTCTTCACTGTGGGTATAAAAACCAATGAATTTATATTTTGCATTATGTTTGGTCAAATCTTCAAAGAGCCACATGTGGCCCCAGAGCCACGGGTTGCAGACCCCTGCCCTGGATGAATCGTCACAACATCGCAGCACAAACTCAGAAAATTATCAACATAACCATAAACGCTGTTTGTAAAACACTTTGCTGTAAGTAGAGATGCAATAAATCATATTTGGATGTAAATAAGGTATTTTTCTGTTAGTCCTGAAAAAAAAACCCACATGCGATTTATCCATTAGCCTCTTTCTTCTTTAAATGTATTTTACAATCATTTTTATGTTTCATACACAAGTGGCTGCACAACCAACCAATCAGAGCGTGGGTATAAGCTGTGTGGGCAGCTCGCACCGCCTCTGCCTCCCTTTGTTTGTTGGATTTATACATATTATCACCACTCAATCTCCAGAATTAAATATAATACCATTATTTGTGAACAAAATGTTCATATGACTTACAATGCATACATAAAAGTGGAATGTGTTACATAAAATGTTTAATATTTAATTTATAAGACACACTTTCAGTGAAAAGCATCCAGGACAAACACCGACACACAGTTGGAGCATCTGTTTGAGAGGCTTTTGAGTCAGAGCGTTTATCTAAAAGTGTAGCCAGAAGGTCAAGCACCTACAGGGAACATGAGGACCTTGTTGGCTGCACTGATGACTGCATCTGACACGTATCGAGAAAACAAGCGATAGACTCGTTTTACAGACTTTGTTAATTTTGCACACAAATAAACTTGTTTTTATATATACAGTTTGGATTTTACAACATTTGCTCAAGACATAAAGTGGTATAAAACCTTAGTCCCTCTGCAGACAGCATCTTAAAACCAGACTTGATAAGAAGTTTGGAATAATTAAAAAATACCTGACAATGCAGGACTTTGTTGTTGGTGGGAGTGAGCCCATTTGGACCGAACACAATTTTTGACGTGATTGTATTTTATCAACTTTGTTTAACTTCAGTCTTTATGTCCTCTTCACGAATTATCCAGTAAAATTAGTGTTACGAACAAAACTTCCTCAACCTGTGCTACAATGAACAATCTTGTCTCCCTTATCAATCATTGACAACATGATGGCCCAGTAGTTAGCATAGTTAGCGTTGTTCCAGTTTTAGCTTCTCTCCATTGGCTCCCCATCAAATTCAGAATCTTACTTCTAACCTACAAAGCTCTCAACCACTAAGCTCCATTTTATATTACAGATCTTATTGTTCCGTATTTTCCTAACAAAGCACTTCGCTCTCAGACTGCAGGTTTACTTGTGGTCCCTAGAATTTCCAAAAGCAGAATAGGAGGAAAATCTTTCAGTTATCAGGCTCCTCTCTTATAGAAACAACTTCCAGTTTCTGTCCATGAGGCTGACACATTGTCCAGTTTTAAGACTGGACTTAAAACTTTCCTTTTGGATAAATCCTATAGTTAGGGTTGGCTTGTTATATAAGCTTAGACTACTGGAGGAAAAATTGACCTCATTTCATCAAATAAATATTTACAAATGCACACAAATGAAAACTGCATTTGAAATTATTTATATCTTAACATGTGATTTTTATTTTTCCTCCTAGAAAAAATCCTGCTCGCTTCCATTCTGGACCTGCCATTGTGTATCTGTTCCTCCTTCCTGTTCCTCTCAAACCCAGCCGGTTGAGGCAGATGTAGAAAATTGAAACTTTAACAAAACAACGGCTGATGTAGCAGCAGAAACAACAAGAATGAGGGAATGATCTCCAGGAGGCACAGAGGAAACCAGGCGGGCACATACAATGCAAAATGCTCCACTGAGGAACTGCGTGCAGAGATGAACTTCACGGACTGAGGCAGAACAGGAAATGGGAAACAGCTGCGCTTAATGAGACAGAGGTGTGGGTGGGCGTGGCAGGACTAAAACGCAGGAGCTGAACGGATCCAGAAGAACAAAACACAGAAAATAAACCAAAAATGGATAGACCCATCAACAAAAACAAAAGACCTTAAAAATTCAGAAAACAGCTGAAAAAAATATTAACATTTTCATCTTTTTTTTTTTTTGTATTTTGAGACTAATAACCAACTAATGTTTTGCTTTTACACTGCTGTGTAAAATAAAATAAAATTAGGAGGAACATATAATAAGTCTTTTGGGTGTTCTGTGGTTAAATTTTGCTCAGGGCTATAGCTGTCCTTGTCCTTCATTCTGGCCTCCATCTTTCACATATAATCTCTTTTTCATTTTAATCTGTCGCCTTCTTGGGTGATTTTTTTCCCTCCCTCTGATTTTCATTCCATGTAACACTAAACATATATTTGCTAGAGGTATGGTGGGAATAAATATTGAGGATTTTGTCATGCGGGGTTTCTAAATCATGGATTATAAAACCCGTTTTTGGCAGTTTTCAGGATAGTTTGGATGGATTTCTAAAACACAGCAGAAACTTAAACTACCTGCTGATTTCCTTTCTTTTAGAAACATGAGATAAATATTCTAGAGTGGATTACAATATGACTGTTTAGTATGACAATACTTCTTTTATTTAAGGTAACAGTTTTCTATCTAATGGTTTAAATGGTATATACTTCATATTTTGATTTGTAAACATAATGCCCATGATCAATCAATCAATCTAATTACCCCTTTGGTCATAAAGTTACTCAAATGATCCATTCATAACTCATTTGGTGATTTGCTTATTTGCAAATATGTAACTAAATAATAATAATAATAATAATAATAAATCCCCTTAAACCTAAAGTAAAGTTGTGAAATTCAATTGTTTTTGTGTGAAATTAGGAGGCCTCAGTTAGCTTCAGTCCTGAGAGTGACAAGAATAAATTAAGGCTAACATCTAAACTAACTTAGCTTCCAAAATTACAAGCACAGAGGATAGAGACGGTGGGCCAGTGAGCAGAAGGTTACCGGTTCAACTCCCCATACTGACAACATCAAAATGGGAGTGGGAAAGGGGAAGCACCCACCCTCATTAACCCCACTCTGGGCCCTTGAGCAAGGCCCTTAACCCCCATCATCTGCTCCCACAGGCACCCTAGACGGCAGCACTCTGCTCCACACAGAGTATAAAAACAACTGCCAAGTCTTAGGAGCAGCTGAAAGAAGAGAAAAAATGAATGCTTAGCTATCATTGTTTATTTTTACATAAGTATCCTTTTTTTTTTTTTGCACTTCAAAACAACAATGACTTTCGTAGGTGGCACTAGTGTATTTTTTAAACTCAAGAATATGATGCAAGGGAGTGCTGCAAAAATTGTGTTAGTTTCTAAATATTTGAATTTGTAGGAAAGTGAGGGCCAGGGAGGAAAACAAGCGAACCGAGTTAATGAACCATGAAATAATGGAAACCCTGGAGAATATTTAATGAAATGCAGGTGATCACAATCAGGTCACCCAACCCAGGTGAGAAACAAGTTAGGAAAAAAAACATGCAAACTAAGAAAGACCTCAAAATGACAACGTGAAAAAACAAAACAAAACCAAGAAACATAAAAGATACCAGAACTAACAGAACAGCTTCCTTGTAAGAAAACTGACTTGACTCGAGATTATATAGAAATTACTAATAAATGACTACCAAGAAGATAATGAGAACTTTAGCTGCAAGAACTAACATGTGTACAGTAGTCCCTCACTACTTCACGGTTCATTTATTGCAGACTCGCGCACGAGGACTCATTTACAAGAGGGACCTGTTCCAGACGGAACATATAAAGTACAGACAATAATAACAGTCAACAATGACAACAATAAACTAGAGTCAAGGACACACAGTTGGCTGATTGATGGATGAGCCTCACGATCGGCATGGAATTTTTATTTAAAATAAATTATTTTAAATTATTTAGCGCCTGCTGCATCTTTGTGCAGCCCATATTGCAGGATAAGCGTCCTCCTGCAGCTGATCAGCTGATCTCCGTGCATAGCGGAGCAGTGGGAGTGGCCAAAAGCGATTGCAGGTGGCAAAGAGCAGCGAGGCAGAGAGAGGGAAATCATGGCATTCTGTGCTCTTTTAGAGCGTTTAGAGTTTAGAAACATTGTTTAGAATATTTCGAGTGTCGAAAAGGTTTAAAATGCCTAAATCACTTAATCGCATGATAAATGAAAATCATTGACCTCATTTTCATTTATCAGCTTTATCGTTTCTTCGTGTCTCTCTCTTTCTACTGAAGACACTGGATGACAAAAAGCTCAACTCCGGTGCTCTTCACTGACCCCTCCCTTTCTCTTTTCTCTTTAAAATCCATTTTAACCATCCAAAATCACGTTTTTGGATCGTTAAAAGCAGCTAAGCTGAGAAGCTAAGCTACGAGCTAAGCTAACAGGCCAACATCGGGAAAAAACCTCCGTCTTGTCCAAGCTCCAAAATTCACGGTTGAAACCCGTGCCTTTGTGTAATAAGTAATTTTTCTCTGCAAAAAGAAGCTGAGAACTTGTTTACTGATTTTTTTTTATTAAAAGCTTTGTGAGAAAAATGCTAAGCTAAAGAGCTCAAACCACACAGAGCGTCCACCATTTTGAGAACCGAAGAGAGACAGCCCATGTCACGTCAAGGGGTCTCCCTACCATTTTTCCTTAAACAGACATGTTGCTCGCTCTCTCACTATCCATCCTTCGGTTCAAACAGTCTTATACTGCCATCCGGTGGTCAAACAAGGTACTACACTCAAAACAAATTAAACATTTCTTCTTAAATTTGACAATAATTACTAATTATTATCAAATTTCAAACAATATTATCGTTTATCGCAATAATTTCTGAGACAATTAATTGCCCAGCAAAATTAGTTATCGTGACAGGCCTACTTGTACTACTATTCCTACTTCACAGTTTAAAGGAGGGACTACTGTAATTAAGATAAGAGATCAGTTTAAAGTGCTTCATAAATTGGAGTAATTTAGAAAAGCAAATGAAGAAACGCTTCTGAACTCAAAGGGGGACAGAAAGGAGTCCAAAACCCCGGAGACAAGTGGGACGTAAACATCAGATGTGCAAAACATGTTTGACAGCCGGGTAATGATTGATTTATTAGATTATTTCTGCATTCCAAGGCCGAAAATCCTTTCCAAACTCTTGAACGCTTCCTGATGTTGGGGAGAAACAAAGATTTCTGACCTGGCACTTTGTCTGGATTTCCCTTCGTGGAGCAGGATGGGATTAAGAGCGGAGGAAACGGATAAAACTGAAGCGTCGCTGCAGCTGGATTGTGATCTCATTGTTGCTTCAGGGACCTTTTTTTCAGGCCCTCATTCCCACCAAATTAACACACATCTGCAAGGACATTCCTACTCTGCACACATTTACTTTCAGCATGTTCCACCTGCTGATTCACCCTGAGGTTGTGTTTTTACATAACGCACACACCACCTCGTCCTTCTGTGTGAGTAACGTATGTGAGGGTTTGTTTTTATTGCTCAGGCACGTCTCATTTCCAGCATTACAGATGGGGCTTTATCTCTTCCTCGTCCTCCTTCGTCCCTTTGAAGGGCAGAGATTCCTCATTACTTTCAAAGGTTCCCAGAACTAAAGCAGCATGGCTCAGCCTAATCCCAGTGCTGCTCTGCTCAGCAGCCCACAGCGTAATGGGCAACAGAAACAAAAATACAGAGTTCTGTGAGGTCTTGCTTCATGGTTATGTAACTGCATTTTTAACCTCATTGGCAAGTAGTCCTGATTCAGACGAAGCTGTGGAAAACAAGTCTTGCTTTTTTTGGTGAAAGTTTCAAGCTTATGTCTTTCTGGGGATCAATAATGAAAATACAGTAAAGAACGTGTGCAGATTAGTTTATGACCCGGGTTTGACCTCCCAGTTCCACATCACTACTGTAAATGGAAAGTAAGTATATCACATAATAGTTGGCCAAAATGCTCAAAGCCATCCATATTTAATTTTTTATACCAAAAAACATTTCACACAGAATACCATTCATCCCGTCCACAATAATCCTATATTACAATCCCATCAGATTTATCATTGTGTCGGTGGTAGAAACAACGTCGCTTTATTGATCATGTGCTGAGCTTTTAGCCCCAGATATCCAAAGAGGATATTTATTAAACCTTTATTTTAGCAGGAAGAAATCCATTGAGATTATTAATCTCTTTTACAAGGATGTCCTGGGCAATATGCAAATACAGCCACACAGTCTTAAAAACAGTAACTGTAGTATTAAAATATTTACAATAAAACATCCGTTAATAAAACTCAAAATATAATGAAAGTAAAAATAAAAATCACAATTTAAGACACTTAAACATTACAGGTGCAGGATGTGACTAAAACCTCACACAATTTTTGTTTAAAACAAGTTAAAGGAATAAAAGACTCCAACCTCAGCTTAAGTTGCAGATCATTCCAAGACCATGGGCCAAAATAGGACAAACTCATCTTTACCTTAGATTTTTCTAAAATGGCTTTGTATATGAAAATATACCAATGCTTCATCCTTCGAATACTGAGTGAAGTAAGTCCAGCAAGGATATATAGGATATATAGGGTATATAGGGTATATAGTATTCTTCCTATCTGCAGTAAACACTGTGCATGTCTGAAATAAAAGTCATACAAAACATGACAATGTAAGTGTCATTTAGAGCTACAACACCAATGTTAGTAGTCCTACGTTTTAATTTGAGCATCCATAATAAATAAATAAAAACTACTCGAATAATGCAAAAAATATATAAATAAATAAAAGGTGTTTAAGGAATATGATTTTAATGGGCTAAAATGTCATTATGGATATCCATTAAATGAATTATGACTGTGTAAAAACACAAGCTTAACTTTAGTTGATCTCTATAAACTTGATGAGGTTATTTTAGTTGTTTTATCAAGGCAGCTACTTTGTAGATATATGAAATATGAGTTTTTCGTTGTAAGGATTCTACCTCACTTATTCACCGTGTTCATTATGAAGACGAGGCTTTCGGCTTATAGGAGCTGAAACTGCTACAATGTGAAACATGATGGTATTTATCCACAGAAGGATGACACTGGAGATTTCTGAAATGATAATTGTAGAACAAAGTCCTACTCTTGGAAATGTTCTTTACGACTATCAGAATTGAATTTTAGATATATGTAAAACATATTAAATATAAAAAAGGCTACATAATTTTTTTGTTGTTTAGTATATGAATGGTGTTCTGTATATATTTGACTGTAGATCAGATTAAAGTAAGACAGTCGTTTAGTTTATGAGGAATGTTATAATTGGTTCTAAAATGTAATGAGATATGATTTGTTTGATTATATGGCCCACCGGCCTGCCATACAGGGGTGCATCTCACCAGCTCCACCTGTCGCGGGTCCAGCTGCAGGGGCACGGGGGACGGAACGGAGAACTGGATCTTCCTCCTCTCCTCCCTGTCCGCCTCTCGCGCCATCATGTCCGGGTCTGGGGGCAGCAGCGGGTCCATCTCATCCAGCCTCTCACCTCCACAGCCAAGCGCACGAGCGTCCAAACTCAAACCCAGGTGGAGTCAGTCCGCGGAACTTCCTCCGGGTCCAAACTCTAACCAGGCATTAGTCGGTGTTCAGTGCATGTTTGGTCTCTGAAGTTCTGTGGCAGAACCTCGTGCCTGCCCTCATTACACCCCTCCCGCTGTGTTTACTGACCTATTCTACGAGATGAGAAGGTGGGGAGTTTATGATGCGTTCACGTACCCTCGGAAACCACACCGAAAACGTGACTCTGACGGAAGTTTCTCGCTGCAGAGTTGCGGATGACGTCAAGCAAGAAAAAATAGTTCGCGTTTTTATATATTTTTTAGAGTAAATAGAGTAAAAATTCTAAATTTTTAACTAAATCAAGCATTTAAAAAAATATCAATTTTATTTTATTGTGAAAGAAAAGAAACGTAAAAGTCATCTTTAATTTTATGGAATAAAATTGTTTCTTTTTGTTGTTTCTTTTTACTTTTAAAAGCTCACAAAAAAGAAATTAAGTTTATATACTGAAACACTGTGTACTTAAGTACTGTTTTTATATAAATATATTTTATCTTTCATAATCTATTTTCTTTGAATGTTTTGATGCCTATTGTTTCTATTTCTCTGGATTTTAAAGGAAAACTCATCCTGAATAATATGTTTATCAGCAAGATGTAGATACTTTCAATTTGTGTTTTTTTATTTACATTTTGGAAAATCAAAGATTTTCTATTAAATATACAAAGTGTAAACAAACAAAGAAGACAGAAGATAGAGGGTTAATATGACGTTAAATAAAAATTTTGTTAACAGTGTGTTTGTTTACACAAAAACAGCAGAAGTGACTGAAAATAGCGCAAACATTAAACTTGGCGGTCACATTCCCTAATCTACCTGTTTTGTTCCTTGTGGTTTTGGACGGACTTTGTTTATGTTGAGTGTGGACCCACAGTTCAGAGTTGTATTTACTGTAATAAGTTTATTTTGGCTGCTCTCTTCTTCAGGTGTCACCACGGTGAGCTAACTCGCATGAAATATTTGTTTTACACCAGATGCCTTTCTTGATGCAACCTGGGCTCGAACCAGCAACCTCAGTATTACGAGACCACGACACTAATTAATATATGTGGAAAACCACTGGCGTAAACTCTTGAATTGCACCATTTGGTTCAACTTTTTATGTTTTCTTACTTTGCAAGAAGGAGCTTTGATAAAGACGAAATGTGTGATGGCAACCTGTCCAGGGTGTACCACATGATGGATGGATGGATGGATGGATGGATGGATGGATGGATGGATGGATGGATGGATGGACGGATGGATGGATGGATGGATGGATGGATGGATGGATGGATGGACAGACAGACGGACATAATGTTTGACGCCCCTCCATTATACTAATAGTAATATATTTTCCTTATCGCTATTATAGTTTAAGAGGAAAACTATTTTTTCATCACACTCACATTTAAAAAAATAAAAATTTTGCGAAAATATCTAAAAAACAAACATAAGATCAGCGTATTAGATGTGTGTGTGTGTGTGTGTGGCCTGTATCTCCCTGTATAAAAACTGTGAACAATCAATCAGCTCCACCCATCTTTTACAACTAAAAGGTAAGTAATTATTATGTAAAGATTTAAAATATAACAACACATTTAAAAACCTAACCCCATTTACTTAAAATTCGTAAATGCATAATGATTATACATGACCTATAAAGAACAAAATGTTCTGTAATCAGAGGACCCAGGTCCACTTTTTATGGAATTTGCAAAAAACTCTGGATCCCTGCCAGTTTGGGGCTAAATTGCTCCTGGAAGCAAACTCAAGCTTTGTGGAAAACGTGTGAACAATGAAGCTTTGACCTTTAGAACAACTCATCCATGAAGATCAGATGTTGGCATTGGAAAAATAAACATGTTTTCACGAGTATGTCTCAGCTGGTAATATGCACACGTTTATGTAGATTAGAGGGTTAGTCAGGAGTGTTGTGAATGATACTAAAACATCAAATTTTCTCACAAGTCTTAAAAAAAACGTGTGGCTTGAAAACTTGGCAGCTGTAATTTACAAGAAAGGTTCACGATATACGTTTTGCATTTTAATTATGTGATGATGTGAAAACTCAATGGAATTAAATTCACTTTTATCATCATAATCTCTTTATTATAAGTCTTTTAAGTGTGTGTGTGTCCTTTTTTTATCTTGTCCAAGGCAGAGTGCAAAACTCTCCACTTTGTGCCTGAAGGGGCTTGCAAATATATATAAGTATTCAGCTCAATCATTGCCATGGCAACAGTTGTTACTCACCAGGCTTTGTAACAGCTGTAGTTTGCTTGTTCTTGTGTATGAATGCCTTATTGTAAATTGTGAAGGAGAAGATAAATGCATTAACAAATTTCTGTTCGGATTATAGATTATATATGTTTTACTTGTTTCATGATAAGACGATGTAATGGTTTTCTGATTGTTTGGACACAAATGAGTCATATATATATATATATATAT